GAGAGAGAGAGAGAGAGCGAGCGAGAGCGAGAGAGAGCGAGCGAGCGAGAGCGAGAGAGAGCGAGCGAGCGAGCGAGCGCCAAGTACCACCGTCGTCGTTGCGACGTTCAGTCTTTTGTGACCGCGCCCCAGTATCACAGGGATCGGCAAGTGGGCACTACTCGCGAGCGCTCAATGCCCGCGGGCAACAGTCGAGCGCGCTGGGGCTAGCGTTAGGCGGCTAGCAATAAAGTGAGGAGAGGGGATAGCAGGAACGTCTGTTCGTTGAACGTGCCATTCAAGGAGTACAAAAATATTGTATTGCACAAATTCAGACCCAGAATTAGCATAAATTAGTAATTATCTATATTTTAAATAAATTCTTACAATAATATTAGATAAGCAACTCTTATAACATTTAATTAATATTTGATTCATAGTTTTTCGATATTATATATGATATATCAGATGTTATCGTTTTCGCATAACTTAAACGAATTATTGCATTTAAATGTGAATCTGTTAACTGTTGTCGCGTAATCGCGATTTATTTAATTTCATAATAGAAAATAATTGTTCACATGAATATGTACAACCGAACATACTCATTACTTTTTGCAGCACGAGCATGTAGTCGAGAAAAATGTTCTTGAGATATATATCAATAAAATTGTATGAGTAATTGTATCAGTAATTGTATCAAAATGATTTTTAAGAGCAGTGACATTTTAAATCTATTAATTCTAATTGTATATCTGCAGGACCAATATTAATATTAACAATAAAAGGTGTAAAAATAAGTAAATCTTCTTCTAAAACATGCCTATTTCCCTAAATCGAATTCATTATGTAATAATTGAAGTGAATTTATATATTCTTCATATTGCTTATCTTGAATGTGCATGGCAACAGATAATACATTTGAAAAATGCAACAACTGTTGAAATTGAAATTGATTGATCCATAAATTAAGTTTCATTTTAAAAGATCTAATTTGATCAAACATATGAATAATTAATTTATCTTTGTCTTGTAGAGTAATTTAAAGGTGAGATTGGCAATCTAGGAAGGTTGTGATAGTTCAAGCACAGACTTATTTTTCATTTCTAAAAATATAATTATTTCTTCGCGTAAATGAAAGAAACGTTAAAGAGTTTTACCTCGACTAAACCATCGTGTTTCGCAAAAATAGGAGATATCGATATAATCTGACTCTAAAGAAGATAAAAATTCGCGAAATTGATGATTCAATCCAGTACTTCGAATAAAATTTACAACTTTGATTACCATTTTCATTACTTCGTCATACTTTAAAGATTTTGCACATAATGCCTCTTGATGGATAATACAATGGATCGAATGTATATTTCTTGTTTTGATTGTGCTAGTTTAGACTTTAAACGTCTTACGAAGCCCATATTGTGTCCAATCATTGCTGCAGCACTATCAGTAGCAACTGAAGTTAATTTATCCCAAGATAGATTTATGTTTTCTATTGCTTCTTCAACGCTAAACAATATATCTTCTCTAGTCGTAATACCTTTCAGAGATATTATATTTAAAAGTTTCTCAGTAATAGAGAGGTTGCTATTCACACCACGAATAAAAATTGCCAAATTGTGCAATAAGATATCAACGATCAGTACTCTCGTCGAGAGTTAATGAAAAAGCAATAAAATTGTTTGCTTTTAGTACCAATTGTTGTTCGAGATCTTCAGCTAATTTTTCAATGCGACATACTATAGTTCGAGAAGAGAGACTAATTGATTTAAATTTATTAATATCATTAGGATATATTATTTCTGCGGCAATTTCTAAACATTGTTTGACAAATGGACTAATGCTAAATGGATGTGACGGGCAATAAGATGAGCAATTTTGTAATTGGCATACAATGCAGGCTTACTTAATTCCAATTCTTCTTCCTGTATTAGAATAATATTTTTATTAAATGTAATGTACCTGATAAAAAATTTTTTATGTAAAAACATGTATATATATATATATATATATATAT